CTTCTGTTGTACTTCTGAGTAACAAAAGCGCTTAAAATATGGATGTGGAGTAATTAGCTAAGTGGCATTTAGCTGTTGCAAATCTGCAACATCTGCCTGGAGAGGGTTAGGTCTGTTCCCGGTTATGGCCTTTGTCGCCGGACTCATTTGTCTTCTTCTTGAATTACCTCTGTGGGCAGAAAACTCAGTAGAAATGCTTTGGGATCCTTGGGGATGACAAAGGCTTTGAGGTCTATTATTTCATAGCACTGTCCCAGAATCCTTTTAGTTGTGGGCATGACCCATATGAGATTCTTTCCCACCCAAATTCCCCCCATCTTTTAGAACTAGTTGTTTGCTTTATACTACACATGGCATGCCAATCAATATTATAACCTTCAGCTCCTTTTCTTTGATTTTTATATTACATATAATGTATCCTTACCACTTTGTCTTTGCGAATCTTAATAAAGCTTAGACACTGAGTGGGAAGGCCAGTATAGGCATCTGAAAAGAATAACAATATCAAAAATGGTAAAGGACTCACCTTTCCTTATTTCCCTGTCATAAAAAGATTGTACTAGTAAATATATAAATAGGTCTCTATTTTCCAAGTTAAATTCTATTTTCCATTTTTCAAATGACCTAAAGGTGTCTCGCTCTACAAATAAACACAAAGCACAAAAACTATGGATGATTTCTCCTGCCAATAACCAATATCACACATTTTCACTTTCAGAGCAGGATCTCCTCTACTTGCACTCACCTTCTGCTTCCTCTCAAATCCTTCTCTTCTTCACCACATCTAATGCTTCTTGCACAGTTAATTTTTCCTCTTGTTCAATCTGTTCTCACATAAAAACTGCTCTCTGCTCACAAACTCAGCTTGTGAATTTTTTTTTTTTTTAGCTCTTTCTCAGACTTGAGTTGGATCGTCACCTAGCAACTTCCCAGCCAATGGAATGAGAGCTATAGAGAGGGTGCACTTGTTTTCTGCATCTGGGTTCGCCTGTTACTGCTTTCCAACATTAGAATTGCTTTTTAAACTAAACAGATTTATGAACCATTGTAGCCTTGATAAAAGGAGGCTACTTACTTAGTTATTTTTAAAAAAATGCACATGCAGAAGTCTCTACCCTCTCCCGCGATGGAACTCCTATTAAACGTGTGCGAGAGCATACATGAGGCCATTTCTCCTTGTTCACGCTCTGTTTAAAAGTTGCTGTTCTCATAACTCATACAAGCTTACTGTGTCCGAACGTCAACCCTAACCCCTAAATCCCTCAATCACTATATAGAGCAGGGGCTATATATCGAACTCAGTCAACTTACCATTTGGACAGATGATCACTGCTTTTTGCTCCCCGTTGGTCACGTAACTCCTCCTCTACTGCATGATGTCACCGCTGTTGATTGGCGACAGACTGTGGCGACAGCGGGTCTCTGTGACAGAAAATCTCATTATGCTTTGCGAGTAGAGCTCTGTGCAAAGCATCCTGAGATATATCTGCCTCTTCTGAGGCCTTTCTTCTCTTCTCATACATTTTTCAGACACTTTTTCTCTTACAAACCTCGGCCATTTAAAAAAAAAAAAAAACGTGGTGAGAAATGTGAGCTTCAATGACTTTCTGAAACCGTAGCTTAACACACATATACACCTGAAAGTGCACATGCACAGAGAAAGATGGCTAACTGGGGATGAGCACGTAGGACGTTCTTACGTAAACATATAATCAGAATGATTGATAATTAGGAGGAACACTTTTTTAGATTATCCACCCTGAAATAAAAGGTCGTCCTCTATACCTTTAAGAGTCGATACATCTTCAGGCCTGAGGTGAACACAAAACTCCCATATGCCAGACAGTACAAATGGTAATTCTGCCTCCAACAAAATATTAGGTGACTTTTCATTGGTGATTTTGGATTCACCCCGTTGTATTAGATTTGATATTGAAAAAAAACTTTATCTGTAAGCAGTAAAAAAGGAAAAAAATTGCACCCTTTTTGACTCTGTCCTTCTATTGACTGGAAAGGTTCCTAGGCAATGACCCACCTCCAGTCTGACAAAAACAAAATTTATAAAACGCTTTTGTGAGCTTACCTCTGACTCAACCAGATACAGGTTTGCATGCTAGAAGGAAGTAAACGAAAACATAAATATGTGTAGAAAATCCTATTTTTATACATATATCAGGATTGGGCAATCACTAAAATCTTTAATCACAATCACAGCTTTTTTCGGCTCTCTGAAGTAAAGAAACACTGCACTCCATGTTACCATGATGAGGTGTACCCAACAATCAGAAGATTCTATTACGTAGGAGACTTTCGCCCACCGGGCGAATTTGCCAACTGTGCAAAATGCTTTTTCTGGCCAGGGAAACATCAAGGCAAGCAAAAGCAGACAGAACTGGCGAAATTTTCACAGAGTTTGCATTCAGTGTGAACGCACAAAATGTTAGGGTGCTAAAGAGGAGACTGGTTTGTAAAGGTTCACAGTGGAATGTTTTTAATGAAAACACTTCACATTTTAACAAACTTTAATCTCAAAGGCAATTTAAATGCTTTTGGTTCCAAGAGTCATTGTAGATGCTGATAACTGGGAGCTGGAAAGCTCTTCCAAACAATCTATTAGCTTGTTTATTGGATCATCTGTGTTTCTGATGCTGCTACCCCAACAACTGTAGCAGAACTGACTGCACTTTACACATTAGAATTTTTTACATTTCTGTGAGAAGTCTTATTTAAAGTCCAGATCGGAATCCATGATCTGGCCTTGATTAAAAAATGAATTTCTTCCATTAATTCTGTAATTCTGTATCACTATTTCAAGATCTGTTGTGATTGTAACCAGGTGTGTCAACGGAAAAGCCGTTAAGCATAGACCCAGATTTAACTTAAAGTTTTGCAGAAAAAGGTCTGAACACAGTGAGCCAGTTTTGCATTTCTTGTGGAAGGAGAAAACGATTCATTGTTAATGAGCAGCTCAGTTGGTTGATGAATCTCAGGAGGTGTGGCAAAGCTTTGATATATTTTACATTTTAAGCCCATTATTAGATGGAGGAAGCACTAACAAAACGGAAGTCATGACCTCCTGGAAATTGAAAATATTACCTTGCTAATATTTACCTGTTCCAGTTTTTTGCATAAGAAAGCAAAGAGAAACCATTGCAGTGACAGTTTTAGGGTCATCCTAGTGTAATTGCTTTTCCTCACCTATTTTTAATGACTTCATTTTAATCTAAACCACCCCCTGGATGTCTAGAAGTTGGTAATGAGTTTGTTTAGTGTGATTTGAAGAGACAGCAAAGTGCAAAAGGAATTCATCCCATTCCAATTAGCATCATCTTTAACCTTATGATGGACACCTCAAGGTGATGAAACTCACACGCCCAGATGCACCTTTACCATTTCACCTTCACCAGCTCTTCTAAATTAGTAAAAGCTTCTACTTTTTCATTAGCTACTGTTGGCAGATTGGGATGGCAGTGGAGAGCGGAGGTCTAATCACAATCTTTACAGGTTTTATAAAGATGAATAATGCTCCAGTTTTAAAGAAATCTCTAGTATCTTCATAATGTGTGATGTTTGCCTGTTCTTATGGGCTGTTTTACTGCCTATAAAGTTTATAGAAGGGCTTAGAAAATGATTCTTCAGTGTTTGTTTAAAATAAAAGCTTTACTAAGACATTTCTGAAAGATCAACACTTTCTGGTTTGTTTTTGTTAGAATTGACAAAAATGCAGGACCTACATCAGATTGATCTTCAGCAAGTCTGGGTGTTGATCCTGTCACTCAGAAACCTCCCTACTTCAATTTCAACTGATGATTAAAAACTGAACACGTACTGTTCAGTCAATAAATCATGATAACTTTTTGCTTTACTGCACCATCATTTTTTATGACATAAACTAAAGAGAGGAAGTTCTGCTGAACGACAGCTGTTTACACAGAACCATTCATTACATTTAATTATTCCATTAAGCTTAGTGGTTTAAGTAATTATCATTAGCGAAACACTTTATCAATTACGTGCAGACTGATGTTTTCAAGCCTCTATTTTTATTCATTTTTATTTTCCACTCATAGCTAATAAAATAAGAATATCACATCGAACCCTTAAAATAAAATTTGCAGTTCAAAAGGTTAAAGGTTTGTTTAATATGTGCTTAAATTTTTCCTTTAAGGTACTTTTAATAATAAGAACCACAATAGAACAAATTTGACTTTAATGAACGTGACTGGAGTTATATCAGTATGATGATGCTTAAAAAACTGGGCCACTGCTGTCAAAACGATTAGTCTAGAGTATTAACAGAGGTTACTTTTCCTAATTTTAAGAACCAGTTCTTTAAAAGGATATCAAAAATCACCCTAATTATAAATGTAAAATTTCATTTTACAAAATGTTCTTCATATTACCTGCCTTTAAATATATAAGCTAGCTTAAATAGAAAAACAAAGAACATACTTTGTGACTTGGCTTTTGCATCAGGCCTCTTAGCCACCATCTGTCCCACTGGTTTCCATCATTATGTGGAAATATTGCAGTTTTTACTCTTTAGATTCTGTTATTGCATCAATATTGTGAAGTTTGGTTCGTACTTATCTTGTGACGTATTTCAGTCAATTTTTCTAATTATATGTGGAACTTTATTCTTCCAACTTTTCGATTTTCAGTCCTTGTAATGTTGATGTTTCAGTAAAAATCTCAAGTGGCAATAAATTGAAGCTGCAATCATAACATCTGACTACATCCAACTTTCTGTTGTTTTTTTCCTCATTCTTGAAAGAACAGATGTTTGTATTAATTGTCTTCCTGTGTGAAAATACAGACCATGGTTTCCATTAATAAGTAGCTGATCTGATGTTGTTGAAATTGCATCCAAATTTGTTAGGTGGATCATTTATATGGAAGATTGTTAGAAGGTAGTCAAAGAAATGTGGTATTCAATAAGCTTGTCGATTTGAGGTAATGTTAATAATCTAAACTAATTGATATTTTCTCTTTTTCTCCAGCCAGGGAAATGACCAGAGGAAAGTTTCTGAACATATTGGAAAGGCCCAAGAAGTGACCATGCATTTTCTTCAAGCAACAAGACTGACATTTAAGATTGCAAGGCAATCGGTGCATTAACATCTTCAGACAAATCTTTGACTGTATTAATTTTAACTAGTAAACCCTTACACCTTCTGTCCTCTAGATGTCTTTGCTTTTTTTTCTCTTTTTACTAAACTTTGCTCTGTCTTACAACATTTTTCAATTAATTACTCATTATTTATTCTTTTCTTTCAGACCTGAATTGCCTTTTTGTAATTATTCAACTTGTAAAATAAAGTTTTAAAATGAGAAGAGACTTTTTTTTTTTTACTTCATGTTACTTTTCATCCAAAGCATCTAAGTTTAATAAAGGCAGGGTTTAATCTGAATAATAATAGCAAAAGTCAAAATACAACACCTTTTCCTTTGCTCATCAAAACAACCCAGACATTAGAGTACATCCTGGCATCCATGCTTTCTGTTTAATGAGCACTGGAAGCTAGGTTAAGTAACAAATAACATTACTTGTTTTTGTTGCTTAATAAAAGTTGACATAATTACGATGACCGTTTCTTTTCTAATTAGCAAACTTCAGTGTAGTCTGAGCCGGTGGCTGGGCAAAAAAAGGGGAATCAGACAGGCATGCTGAATGGAAACAAAAAGAAGTCCATCCACTGTAATTAGGTGAGACAATGGCTCGGATTGTTCTCAGCTGGAGATGTCGCCGTGGCTCAGCCAGCTCACTCCCCAACAACTTACACTTCTCTCCGTGCCGCTAATAAGCCCCTAATCCCCCTTCTGATTCACACAGACAAGCTGCTACATCCTCTGTAGCTTCAACCCCGGCCTCTGAAAGGCAGCCTGGCTTACCTGTTGGGAGAAACATACCACCTTGCAAAAAAGGAAAAAAATATATATAGATCACCCCACCTTGTGCCCGATTACTGAAAAAAATGCATGCTAATGTACCAACTTGGAAGCCAAAATGTGTGCTAAAGTGCCCTATTGGTAGCCAAAGGTGAACTAAAATGCTGTCTTGGGAACCAAAACACATGTTAAATTGTCCGTTTTGGAGACCAAAATGTTTGCTAGGTGGCCCAATTATTAACTAAAACCCTACCGCGAATCATCTGCCTCCCCACACCTGTGATTTGTTGTTCCCATTGAAATGTATTTCACCACCTGAAGATTGAAGGAACATGTTGTTTTAATGTCCTATTTTGGAATTTTAAAGTTAGTATATTAAGCAAAAATGGACAAAGTTACAGAAAAAAAAAAAAAAAAAAATATATATATATATATATATATATATATATATATATATATATATATATATTCACATACTACAAATAAAGAGGACGAATACAGAATTCTTTTTTAGGGTAATTTTTCTCTGTAGTCATTGAGGAGTCTTCAATAAAAGAATAACTGCTCAACCTATTTAATGCATTTATTATATAGAATCATAAATTAATTTTAACATGAGTTTATTTGTTCAGCTTTATTAGCAAAGGCTTCTTAAAAATAAGGTTAGAAATTATAGACGTACACATAAACTCATCATCTGTTGGTTAACTGTGATTAGCATTGATTTGAACTGTAAAATGTTTTTGGCGCCCTTTCGTTTTTGGCAAATGGCAAGTACATCGAGAAATGTTGAGCATGTTAAAATTGCCCTAAAAATTTAAAAGATATTTAGAAAGTTCAGCGCATGCCAGTTTTTTAGGAGATTCTGGGACGTTGGGCATACGAATTGACATGGTGTGACAGGGTCCTTAATGAATAAATATGCGCTGGCACAGACACTGTAAGTGATAGGTCCCTTGGACCAGTCTTATTTTTTTTTACTGTTTAATTTAAATAATAATAGAAAAATGTAATTGTTCCACATTTAGCTTAAATCATATTGAGATATATTTACAGAGTTGTAAATTGTTTCACTTGATCTTTTAAACAATGAACCATTGGTGCCCCTATGAAAAAATGGCCTAGAACCACCACTGCACCCCTCAGTGCACATTGGCCCCTGTCTGTTGGCCCCTATGAAAGTTTTGGAACCGCCTCTGTACCTCATGTTGTTATGTTGGTTGTTGTGAGTACATCTGATCAGCTTAGGTTTAGCAATCACAAAAAAGAAAAGAAAAAAAAGCCTTTCTGCTGTCACTGGATACCGGTTGCATGTTGACACTTGTTGGTGCTGACTGTGGCCCATTGATCAGTCTGCTCTCTGACATCCTCAATACGGTGCAGGACTGGTGGCTGCCTGTCACCCGCAGCCAGGGAAAACGGGTCAGCCCCCGCAGAGCTTGTCATCCACAATGGAGAGAAAAGGGGTGGTGAGGGGGGATTAGTCCATCCATCCATATCTAGAGAGTCAGCGCTGACCTCACATGCCACTGTACCCCGACAAACGTCAATCCGATGTGCCCCAGGTCCTTAAATTAGCTGTCAATTAGTGCAAATTAATCAACTCCTCGCCTAATTAAGCAATGCCAACAGGCAGCTACCAAACACGCCGTTGTCGGGGGGCCATGAGAAAGCTGCAGGGATTGCAAATTCAGAAAGTTGTGGAGATGAGAGGGGATAGAAGGAAGGGGGAGGTTGCATCACATCACGCCCTGCAAGTGCAGCTCATGCTCAGGTTTTTTTCCGCCTGACTCAACACTGCATGTTTTCTGTCATCAGGTTTCCTGGTGCCTGTTTCGACAGCAAGGGCTTTGACTCAGCACTCAGGTGTTGCAGGAGAGCTTTCTTTAAGCTCTGGCAGAACATTGGTATTTAGATTTGCGTAAAATGATGTGCAAAGATCTGCAGCTTTAAGGTTTGACCTCCCCTCATGATATTAAATAGGCCTACACTTTTAAAGATTCAACGGGTGCTTTCAAAGCACAGTGAGATGCATGTAAGTGGACGATATTATCCCTGTGCTGACACATTTTCAGATTTTAAAGGTTTTAAGACCTTTCCTTGGATCTTAATTTTTGCTGAACAACAGGGCAGCAGCAGGATGGAGCAATGGGAAAGACACATGCGTTCAGAAGGGGAAGTGGCTTTGGTTCACAGGGAGTAAAAAAAATCAGCAGATGTTTGCTTTTTAATCTACTGCCGTCTATCAGATCTTACAAATCTTTGATGGGGGGACCCAATCTGCACGAATGGCTGAACTAAATCTCCTCTAGAGCCTTATTAGGAAGCCTCTTTTCTGCATGTAAATCAGGCTGCACCCATTTCACCGAAGACGGATTAATGGAGAAGAAAACAGAAGAGAAAGCATTCAGCTATAAACAAACACAACAAACAAACAAATAAGCTCTATGGATTGCAGAAGGAGTGATGATGGAGTGAGAGGCCTTCTCTTGGACACCCTTCCATGTTAATAAATGACTCTATCCCTAAAGACTGGCGCGTCATTAGCATATCCTAATCACATTGATTTCTTCATTAATAGAATTTCCACTAAATAGGCCCTAATTACTTTCAACCGGGCAAGCAGATATTACTGCTGCAGCACTAATTGCAGCAGCAACATTTTTTTTCTTTTTCTCTGTATGGTTGTTTCTTTCTCACTAATAGAAAATGTGACTTTGCAAGATGAATTTGTGGTTCTACGCTTGTGAAAAAAGCACTTCATCTTACAGGTAATTTTATTGGATTGACTTAAAGTATATTTTTAGTGGTCTAGATGTTAATGCTGTAGTCAGAATTCACTTATGCTTGTTATCTTTTCTTGTGACATTATTATACAGCAACACTACAGACCTGTGCAGTGTGAGTGTGGCTAAATAAGATTTAAAGTTTGACATGTATATTTTTGTGTGTAATCATACAAAAAAATACATGTGTGTTTGGCTGGTAATTAAATTCTTAAGAATAATTATAATGTATAAATAATTTTTTTCAGAAATTATAGAACTGTACATTTACAGTTATATGTTTATATTTCTGTTTATATATATATATATATATATATATATATATATATATATATATATATATATATATATATATATATATATATATATATATATATATATATATATATATATATTTTTTTTTTTTTTATAATTTTCAAGGCTGCACTTCAAAAATGTTATTGTCCATAGAGCTGTTCTAAACGACATTTTTTTTGTTTTATTTACACTTCTAAACAAAATGACAAATAAATCTCTCTAAGTCTATATTTAAGTATACAGGTATACTATTTTCAGTATCCTGCTGGTATTACTTTGTATTTGATTTTTTTATATTCTATTGTATGTTCATTTTTCATTCCTCTTCATTTAGTTCATACTATTATGGATGTTGTGACACCAGCATCCAATTTACAAGGGTTATTTTTTACATCTATATTTTATGCTAAATGTCTTATTTTTCTTTTATTTCCAAAAAAAGCAATTAAAAACAATTCACTGGACATTGTTTCCAAGTTTAGAGACGTTTCTTTTCCCATCCAGGAGGCTTTTTTAATTCAAAATGTCTGGAATAACGTTGAGTTCGAGGTTTTATACAATTTTCTTACAATTTCCCTACAAATTTCCCTACAATTTTCTTTTATTTCTTTTTATTGTTATGTTTATGTCCAAAGCTTCATTTTAGTACTATTTATTTCTCTAATTTATTTACATTTAATCTGCGTAAAATCTATAATAATAATTAAAATAATAGAATAATAATAATGAACCTGGCTACTGCTGCTGCTGTGGGATTAACGCGGTGCAGGATGGAGACCATGTCCTCCAGCTGTCCTGTTTTGGGGGGGCTTTGATTCGCGCGTGATGAGTTTCCTGGAGCATCTGGAGATCAATTATCCATCCATGGTGAGCCGGTGGTTGGGCAGAGATCATAGCTGGATCCATCTGTGTGTTTACATGTGTGCGTAATGCCTTCCATGAAAGGCTGTGCATACAGATTTAAAGATTGGGGTAATTTTCTATAAACCTGCACCGTTTCAAAGATGTGGGGATTTCATGGGGAGGGTTTTATTCAGCTTTTAATGAGATGGTCGGATCTATTTAATCTGTATTTATTTTTTTTTCTGTTTTTTATTTATGTTTTATAGACACAATTAAATAGAGTATATTTTAGCTGCTATTGCCTAAAAATGTACAATAGATTTTTCTTGTAAATGTTATATGCGGAGGCATCTGTCCTCCAAAAGGCAGAGATGTGTTAGAGAGGGCGTAAAACATCCATGATCCACTGGAATCCTGAATACTGGCAGCTGATTGGCTGCAGGGCGCAGCCTCTCGTTGGGATGGACCTGTTGGATAAAAGGAGCATTTTCTAAACGACTCTGTGGAACAGCGAGGATCATGTACGAGGAGCCCCCCTGTGAGGCGACATAACAAGAAATATATTTTCAAAGGGGCCATCTAAACCACGATGACGGGGAAACAGGGTGCGTTGCTTTCGGAAAGTTTAAATCGCTCAGAGAAAACATCTCTAGGTGCAAATGCAGGGAACAACAGCCACCAGCCGAAAAGCAGCATCAACCATCCACCGACCGCGAACAGGTGCACCAGCTTCGGCATCCAGGAGATCCTGGGGCTGAATAAAGAGCCGCAGACCACACCGAGGAGCCCGCTGAGCTCGCTGCCCGCCGGGGCGCACCTGATTGCCGCAAGATCGGTGTTGGGCCCCGCTACAGTCGGCGTGGGTGTCGGGGTGGGATTAATTGGCCCCGGTGGAATTCCGTCGTTTTACGGCCAACCTGCTTTCCTGGAGACAGTGCTGTCAGACGGACAGGACGTCCACCTGCAGCACAGCAGAGGCGCGAGGCCCCTGGAGCCCAGCCAGTCCGCCAGCTCAGGTGACGCGCGAGCGCTCTGGATTAAAGCCGCAATTATGCTGAAACACAGATGACAGGGGAAATTAGCCTAAATTGTTATTATTATTATTATTATTATTATTATTATTATTATTATTATTATTATTGTTATTATTATTATTATTATTATTATTATTATTATTATTATTATTATTATTATTATTATTATTATTATTATTATTATTGTTATTATTATTATTATCGCACCAGATTTTATTTAGAGTGTGTTTTTCACTGCATCAGTTTATTAGGCGCTGCTTAAAACGCTTCCATTTGTTTTTTTAATCCAGACTCCGAGGATTTATCTTCAAACGAACGAAAACACACAAAATCAACTTTAGGGCAGAACAAGAAACGCAAGAAAAGACGTCACCGGTTGGTGTTATTTTTTTTATTTATTTTTATTATTGTAATGGATGTGTGAATAGCCTACAAGAGACCGGTTATTCCAATAGATATTATAGATATATAGACATTTTCCTTATCGAGAAGATATATTTCGATTTTTTGTTTATTTTAATTACTAGAGAAAACAGCTACAGCCTTTTAGAGTGCGATACATTCAGAAATTTCAGAAATTTATTGTTCATATGTTTGAGTTTCATATATTTAGTTTATTCATGTGTTGAAATGTAGACAAAATCCCCAAATTTAGTAGGAAAAAAAAATAAAATGTGCAACATTAGTGTGTTTTCAACAGCATGACCCGTTTCCACAGAACCATATTTACCTCCTATCAGTTGGAGGAGCTGGAAAAGGCCTTTAATGAAGCGCACTACCCGGATGTTTACGCTCGAGAGATGCTGGCCATGAAAACAGAGCTGCCTGAGGACAGAATACAGGTAAAAATGTCAGCTTTTTCAGAATGCCAGTTATATTTTCTGTTTGAATTAGGAAGATCTTTGTGAAGTTGACTTTTATCTGTTATTTCTCTGGGGAGGGCGGGGGATATAACCAAATAGGCACAGCCCAGTGGAAATACTTGCAAAGTGTTGAATATTTTAATTTAAATTTAAATTTTTATATTTCCACCATACATTTTTTTATTGCATGCTTTAAGAGCTATTTAACAAACAGATGTTTTTTATTTGCATTTTTCTGTGTTTTATAATCAGAGCAAAAGCTCTGATTAAACCACTGCCAGGTTACAATAAAAAAGAAAATGGATGGGTTGCTGTCATGCACTTAATAAATTACTGTAATTTTTCTAAAGATCAGATATAGGCTATTATTACAATGACTTTTGTAGCTGAAGTTGCCAACAGTAGATTCATAAAATAGCTCTCCTGCTGCAAAAACCTTACTGTAATTTAAAGCCCTAATTTTTAAGCATATTATATCAAATGTTTCTGTGGAAAAAGTGAGTAGAAAGGGAAGAGGCTTTGTTGCAATAAAAAAAAAGATTAATACATTTATTAATAAATTAATAAATAGATAAATTAGCTAATTGAATAAAATGTATACATTTAAAATAAATAATAACTATAATCTATAAACTATAATCTATGCCAACCTGTGCTGCAGGGTTGGCATCTGTTTTGTGGTTGCAGCTTAAGAAGGCCCCAATTGTAGAAACAGGCTGTGGTATTAAGGAGTACTACTTTAATTATGAAAAAACCACAAGAACTTACTGGGAAAACCACTGGGAGGGCAGGCCATTGAACACACAGATGAACATAGATGGAATGCAAGAAAAGAAGAACCCTGCAAAGAACAATGAGAACAAGAGGACTTTTATTACTAAAGCAGAGGTGGAGAGTGATAAACAACAGTATAGAGCTATCAGAGAAAATGTGGAACAGCTTTAACAGGATGAAAGCAGAGAAGCTGAGGGAAAATTACAATTTCATAGATAGAGCTGAATTAAGAAACATCACCTAAAAGCTGAAGGGAAAATAGCTACTAAAATTGTTCAGAAATACTTCAAATTATGCAAAAAACACAATGCAAGATTAAACTAAGAAACTCCAAACAAAGTAGTATATATTTATGAAAAAAACTGTGATAATAAACAAAGCTATAAAATTAAATACATAAATAGACAAAAAAAAAGAAAAGAGAAATAAATAAATTTTTTAATAAAAAAGAAGAAAACCCAAACCTGTTTGGATCATGACATTTTACATGACCTCCAATAGCATTTAAGGTCATATCTGTTCATGAAGGGAAGGCTTTTGATAAAAAAAAAAAAATTATATCCACCACCCAGATTGTCACAGCCTTCAGGCTGGTGCAAGCACTCAGAAAGACAACACCGTTATGTCATTTTCCTACCAAAATTATATTTTTGTTGCTTATTTATGCCTTTGCCACCCAAACCCTACGCTGGATTCATTATTAAAATGATAACTTTTAAGCAATATTCAAGTTTAATGACCCATTTTTTAATTGTAGGATAAACCTTGATTGAGACGACAAAACTGCATGTTGTTTTTTTTATTTTATAAAACTTTTACCCCTTCTAAAAATTGACCTCTAATTTTTCTAAATTTTTAATAAAACGTTTAATTATGCTTGCATATCTATATATGAACTACTTCAGTCAGTTACAATGTTTTTAAAATATATTTATTTCAGAATCTCAATTAACCCAATGAACTATAAATTACTTATACAAAGACCATTCAACTCTATTTCTGTTGATTATCACAACTTTCCATGTAAAGCCTGTTAATGCATCATACCTGTATAAATGTGGAAATATAATATATTTTTGAATATAGAACCTCCTTCCTATGAAAAGTATAGGTACTACCCGTTTAAATCGTATTTTCAATATCTGAAAAAAGCCTAATTGGAATGCATTGTTTTAACGATAGATCAATATCAGTTTGATAATTCTTCAAATATAGTGTTTCTAATTAATTAAACTTGAAAAGAAAAGCTTTATTTTTACATATTTAAGCTTTCTTTCTTCGGTTCTTTACATAGAATAGATCACTCGGAACAAACACTGTTTAATGTTTATGTATTGAATTACTATGAGACATGAGAATAGATTTTGACACTCAGAACAGAGAAATGGCTCACAGATGGCAGCCTTACCACAGGAAGTCGGCCCAGAATACCAGTAAAAAAAGAATTTTATACATGCAGCCTGTCACATCTCACATCATTACATCATACTGTACATGAGGAGACTTCACTATAGCTCCAGCAATATCAAGATATTACCCTGTGTTCTTAGATCAAGGACAACCCAAATGCACAGTGACAGCTATATGTTAAGAATAATCCACTCTGTCCCAAATCTCTTTACATAATGAAGATGATAACTTTCTATTTTAACAGAGGAGCTTTCCTAATTAGCTAGATAAACTGTTTGGGAAAACATTAACCTAAACACATAACAGGCAGGTATTATTAGGGTTTAACAAGCACATGCACGAATAACAGAATATAATCCTATCAAAGGTGATTTTTTTTTTTTTTTTTTTAACAGTAGACTTTATGAGGGGAAATAGTGTGTCTTTGGTTGTGGGAGGTGTGGCAGAAGACGCTGCTTGCGTTGGGCTGCATTCACACACAAAAAACACAGCAAAAACACTTTTGCTGTGTTTTTATTTATTTTTTTTTACATGCAAACAACAAGAATTTAAGATGTTTAAAATTTTAAATTACTGATCCTTATCTCAGCAGAATATTTCCAACAAATGCCAAGAGATACAGGGGTGGAGAGCTCCAGGCAAGAGCCTCCATCTCCATATACTATACATATTTGTAAGGAATCTTTCCTCCATCTGTATGAAATTCAAACAGAAACACGCTGGATGTAAGATCTTAAACAAGAGGTAATAACATTTTTAAGAAATTCTCTAAACTGAAAGGTCATAATCTGAACTTTAATCTTTGTTCAGACAGCTTGATCATCATTAGGTGTATATGTATTTTCTTACACCAATTATACTGTATAAAATACAATGAAGAAATCCATTCTAATCTGAATAGAAAGGAAACGAGGTGCAATTTACAAATTTTTTTTGCTTTCATAACTGCATATGGAACCCCTCCAGCAATATTAAGTATAATTATAACATTTAATTTCCCCTATTGGAATAACTAATGATCTTGAATGAAACAGACCCATTGGTGCGCATACATGCATGTCTAATCAGCAGGTGAATAGAGATTTCCATCTCCCTGCCGTTAAATCAGCGTTTATCTCATGCTGTTGCATTTTTGTGAGGGGCACAGGTTCCTCTTAGTGCTGCTCTGGTGTTAAAGGGAAAATGGTTCCTCGCACAAATCGATCACTTTCGCCCACTTCCTGCCTGAACAAAGGAGGCTCCCCTCCTCCTCCTCCTCCTCCTCCTCTCTGCGCAGCAACAGCAGCATCTTCGCCAGGACAGATAATCTCTCATCAGGCGCAGTTGGATGTGAAACAATTTGTTCTCGGAGAAGGAGCCGCTAACGACCTAATCAAGCCATCAAGGCGGAAGAAGATTGCGGTGTGACCTAAACTCATCCATCTGCCGGGGCGCCTTTTTTTTCAATCTCATTCTCATTAGGGGGCTGAAACAGTATGGCCGCGAATAAATAATAAAAAGGAAATAAATAAATAAGACCCCCCACCCCCACCCCCGCCCTTCTCTCCTGGATAAAATTAACACCCAATTTTACTCATTGGGTGTAATTAGTTAAATCAGAAGAGCTCTGGCTCTGCTGCTGTCGATGGAGAGGCGCAGGGAGTTCAAATGAAATAACTACATTGAATTTATTAGCGCGGGTCAATAGCGCTTCTCCCCGGAGTCCCGGTAGTTTAATTTCCCGTGATATTTGCCCGCCTGCCCGCCATCGATTGGGCCTGAAATTAACTTATTTTTCAATCAGCGTCGGCGCGCCCCTGGGTCGCTCCTCCTCTGCGCTTTTACGCATCGGCTTCTTTTGAGGGACAGAGAAGCAATTTCTAAAAGAGAAGAAAAAATGTATATCTTATATGAAAGGGTTATCATCAGAGCTGCCCGGGGAGAAAAATCTTTGAGTCTGTTTGATCTTTTTTTTTTTTTAACCATTTAATATTTAATACATGTGCCTTTTATGGCTTCTTTTTGACTCCTGCTTTTTTTTTTTTTTTTTTTTTTTTTATAGGAACCGTCTAAAGTGTGTAGGCAGAATGTGTAACATCTCTGTGTTGTGTCACTCAGTCCACTAAGCATCTTTGTTGGCTTATAGAGAGAAAGCTGTGGTGCTCCACAGGGGTCATTACTCAGAACTGTCATTTTTTAAGACAAACATCAAGTCAATTTTTAAAGGGACAGGCAGTTATGGTGCATTGGTAAGGGTAGTATAGTCATTTTGCACAATTAACATTTTCTAATGAATAAGAAGCAAAAAATTAGAAAGAATTAATTCAGCCTCACCTCTCATCCAGTCGCCTTCTGATGCACTGCTGCTGAAAGCCTATCAGCCCTGTGTATGCCTCTGCCATAGCCAATTATAATCTAGAATTCTGCTCTAAAAAGATGGGGTTCTCTCCTCCATCCATTTCCAGAGTGCTTTCGTCATGCCTTCCTCCTTTGGTCTACTTTCCACCGACATTGTAAGGTCCCTGACTATCCTATTTCATCTACTCAGTCATAACATCATAATTCTCTATATGCTGCCTTCAACCAAGGCCTGAGCACCAAACACTATATTTCTTGTTTAAATAAAAGTCTAATTGTTGCTCGTCTTCTGTGTGAGTCTTTCCAGGTTGAGTGTTATGTAAAACATCTTGTCCATTCTCCAGATTTTTAATACCTCTCTTTGTAAGTCAGTATTTTTATAGATAGATCTTGAAGGAGTTTTTTCCTCCCTCAATGCTGAGGGTTGAGGGAGACTGTGGAGTTGCTCCAAGTCGCTGACTCAGTGTGTTTGCTTTGGTTGATTGTCTAACTGTTCATTGTGTTATCTTTGCTTTATGTTGCATTTTGTGGTAAAGCTCTAGAGAGAAGATTCCCTGACTCACCTAATTCATCTGCTGTCATCAATAATATGGCATTTGGCTTGGAGTAAGAGTTACACTAATAATGACAAAAACCAACATGGGAATGAATAAATAAATACGTATTGAAAGTTACTAACAGGAACTGAAACACATGTTGCCAAAAAACACAAAGCTTGGAATAAAAACCAGATTTGATATTTGATGCACTTATATACATATATATATATATATATATATATATATATATATATATATATATATATATATATATATATATAAAATAAAATAAATAAAAAACGCTTTTCCATTTCTCTAAAAAATATAAGTTAATAAAGAAAAATCACATCTTTGATATTCATTTATTCATTACAATAATAAACTCTACGTCAAAAATATATAGTTTTAGTAAACAATGCAAAAATTTGTGAAAGTTTCTTAAGATAATTTGAGCAGGTAAATAAGACGATCTGCCAATGGATTTTTTAAAAATCCTTAAAATAACATAATTTTATATTATGCACTTGAAATAAGAGACTGCTGATTTTTCTTATTTTTACTATAAATTGTCTTATTCCATTAACAAAGTGTCTCACTTAGCTTCTTAATTCAATAAAAAAATGCACATTTTTAGAAATATTGACTTACTCAGATTTTTTTTTTTTTTGCTGTGGTAGCACAGCCTGCACAATTATTGGTGACTGTTTTTATTTAGTACAAACAATGTTTTATCAAGACAGAGTTCTACTTCTGGGAGATTTATTCAATTTGTAAGAGGCCCCCTTCAGAATCCTGGGGGATCTCTCACATCATATTGTTTCCATTTCGATGTCACAGACTCTCTTTAAGATTTAGTTCTAGGGGCAAGATCACATGGGTAGACTGGAGAACTTATTTAGAACTCATTTGACCATCTAGTTGTTTGTTGACAATATATCTTAGATCATTGTCCAACTTAAAAAGCCTACCTTTGTGGTTTCTGAAAAACCAAAAAGCTGGCTCCCTAACCAGCTTTTAAGAGCCTAGAGAAACAGGCCCACAGAATCAGGTTCACCTCCATTCCTAATAGGCAGCATAGTGTGTGTATCCACATATGGTTTTAGCTTCAGTCCTTGTGTTTGGTGAGCTCACATTGACACTGTTGTGTTAGTAGGACAGAGATGTTGATCAACTTTAAAAAAAAGTATAGTTTTTTCATAGGATATAAACTGCTACAGGGTGGCAGAGATTTACTTTGCAGCAGGACAGTGACCCTTTACATGCAGCCAGCTCTACAAGATAATGGTTTCAATCAAAGCATATATGATGTTAGAATGGCTAAGTTAAAGTCCAGATCTAATTAAAATGAAAAAGATGTGCTAAGGATTAAAAACTTAGGTTTTAAAGAACAGGAATCATCCCACATTTGTAAGTACAAACAGATAAACATGGCAGATATTAATCCAGTGATATTAATCCTCCTGTCCCAGGTATGGTTTCAGAACCGCAGAGCCAAATGGAGGAAGAGGGAGAAATGTTGGGGCCGCAGCACGGTGATGGCTGAGTATGGACTGTACGGAGCCATGGTGAGGCATTCCATCCCTCTGCCTGAATCCATCCTCAAGTCCGCCAAGGATGGCATCATGGAGTCATGTGCTCCCTGGCTGCTGGGTAAGACTTGGATCATAAAGTTTGTGAAACCCTCATCCTCATTCTTTTGCACCTTTAAAACCCTCATTTAGACATGAGGAACAGAGTTTTTTTCCACTTTGAAGCACATTTCATGCACGTTTGTTGTCATTATGCCAGCATGAACCTAAATCCAAGACACAAGTAATTAATTGCTGTAACTATATTCTAAACCAGAACTATTTTTGCTTGCTATTTTCAGTCCAAGATGGCTTACCAGTGAGCAGAAGTTATTCTAAATCTGAATACCCGCAACTCTTTACAGGGATGCACAAAAAGTCCATAGAGGGAGCAGCTCCCCCGTCAACAGGAAAGTGTGATGCTCCGCAGCAGCCGAATGCTCCGAGGCCAGAGGACGTTGAAGTGGAGGAGAAGAGGTCGGAGGGAAAGCCTGTCATTTCTAAAGAGGAACTGAGAGAGAACAGCATTGCTGCTCTAAGGGCCAAGGCTCAGGAGCACAGCGCCAAAGTGCTGGGGACAGTTTCTCATGACAGACCGCTGGAGGGCAAACAGGAGTTCCAGGGGCCTGAAGAGAAGGCCAGTAATCCAACTAGTCCAGAAGAGGAGCAGATAAGTCCCTAGAACTAATTCAGAGTCTAGACTGTCATTGTGAAATGAGACTGCTGTGGATTAGCTACATTTAGTTTAAATCTGGATTAACTGACTCGGATTTCTGTCCTTCACTGACTTCCTCTAACTGGGCCTCATCTGGACTTCTATTAACTTGTGAAAGGAACTTGTTGGTTTCTACCAAGAAGATGCAAATGCACTTTTTTCTGATGTGTTTTCAGACGTTCTCCAGTTTCTTCTTTAAATATTAGAGGACCTGACAGAGTAGCAGCAATAGACGATATTGTAAATATACCTTAAAAACAGCCAGATGAGTAAAAGCTAGATGTAACAGTGCATTTATTGCAATGAGTATAATTTAATTTGTGTCTCTTTCTGACTGTGCTTAAACAACTATTAAATTGAAGCATTTTAGAGGAACCATCCTATCAGCAGTAAGAGAAATATTTGTTCTATATCATGCTGTATATATAAGGATATATAAATCTTTAAAATGTCTTTCATGTAGTCTTTAAATGTCAGTGTTTTTTATTTCATTATGTATAAGTCAAAAGTTAAAACATAAAATAGAGACGACTTTATTAAATCTGTTTCCCATGCCTGTGTAACTCCTCATTGACATTAATTCATGATAGATGTAGATTTTTGTAGCTTGATGCCCTGCTGGCTGCAGTCATTAGGAGATGGTCTGAGATGCATGCTTATGTTAACCCTCTGTAATCTGTGGCAGTTGAAAGCCCTCGGTTTCAGATTAAATGAGGGGAGCAGCACTTTTGGGAGATGGGAAATAGAATAAACGCCTCAAAGCAGGGTCAACATCTGCCTGAATTCAAATGACTTTTAAATGCTGAAGCACAATCTGTTAATCCTACTTTCACAATACTTAACAAAAATAAGTTTATCTATTGAAAGTCTTCACTTTCTTCTGGGTGTTGCTAATGTGTTGAAGAGGGTCTTTTAGGAAGACGGAAAATTCATAACTCTTTGACCTTTACTCTTCTGATCAAGCTAACAGGGCTTCACAATGACAACACCAACCATTGAGCTGCTTTGCATTCATCTCATCTCAGTCTTTTTTTTACCTCACCCTATCAGCTATCCTATGATCTTATATCAGTTATTCTCATTTCATCTCATCTCATCTCATATTATCACGTTATATCCTTGCATGACTCTATCTCACACCATCTAGGTTGTTTATCTCGCCTGAACTGAATCAACCCACTCCTACTCACATGGTAACGTCTAATCTCATCTATTCCTGTTTCATGTCTTTTCATCCCATCTAAGTACATTGAAAATAAGTTCACATCAACTTTTCCTTTTTATTGCAGCTTATCTCGTCTCATTTCATTTAATCTCATTAAGAGTATGTTCATCTTAAAGCATTACATGTCTGTTCTAAAGACAGGAAAGGAAAAAAAAGGTTCTATGCTCAAAGTTTTGAGAAAAGGGTAGAAAGATTTCAGAAAGATGTTCTAAACATAAAAGAAAACTTTCTAACAATGTGAAGTAGGCTAAAAGATCTTGAACATTAGCACTGCATGTCTGTATAGGGAAGTTAGAGAACAGATGGGAAACCAAGTCATTGACATCATTACTCTAGAAAGGGACTCCAAGCTGTGGGACCCCCACAAACCACTGTTAAAGCCATTATCCTCAAATAGAAAGAGCATGGAAGAGTAGTAAACTTGGCAGTGATCAGCCCATCAATTACTCCAAGAGCAGATTCATGACTCATTCTGGACGCTATAAAATAACCCAGAAGAACAGAGCAAAAAGAAAAATTACACAAAAGGCTATGTCACATTTTAATATAAGTATTCTAGTCCAAGGCTGCACTTGGATTCAACTAAGTTGCTGTAAATCACCTTAAACAAGACTATCATACTCAATAATCATCCACTTTGGCAATTTGAGACAATTAAGGAAATATGAGGGGTTCAGGTTTTCTCTACTGTAAACACCCGATGGGAGGCATTGCCTGAAGGGTGACACAACCCTTACACTGGAAAAACAATCAGAAATAAGTAAACATTTCTTAAATTAAGTGTATTTACCCTTAATTTGAGTAGGTAAATAAGATGATTTGCAATGGAATGAGTATCTTAACTCTTAAAATAAGATAATTAGATAATATGTACTTGGAATAAGACATTACAATTGTTTTTTTCTTATTTCAAAGTGGCAAAGTGTCTCACTTACCCCCTTAATTCAAAGAAAAATTTACTTATTTTAAGAAAAAAACGTTTAAGGAGGATTTTCCTCTTTTTAAATTCAGGACTATGTTTGTTTGGAAATATTTTTTCCTTTGCCTGATTTGAAACCTTCTTATTTGTTAACTAAGTCATATTTTGTCTGATATTACATTCCTTATATGTATGGAAAAAAGAAAGAAACAAAGAGAAATATTTAACCGTGAAACCTCTTTTTGTTGGAGCACTGTAGACATTTTTTCATAATTTCATTGAATGACATTTATAAGACGTTACGGTTGACAAAAAAACAACAACAAACAAACAAACAAAAAAAAAAAAACTACCACAGGTGGATGTTATGGCAAAAAACCTATATGGAGAGTTTTTTTCTAATTGGAGTTGAAACAATTTAATTTTGATATCCATCTAAGCCAAAAGTCTTCAACGTTTTCCAGGCCAAGGACCCAAAACTGATGGCGAGATGGAGCGGGGACCCCCTAATTATATATATTGTATGAAATTGTGTTATATGTCAAACTTTTCCTATAGTCACTCTATTACATATGGAGCAATGTGCAATGTAACAAGTATTTCTGATTCTGATTCCTGGTTGATGGGACAGGTGTTGTGAATGAAACTGTGCCCAGTTTGAAAGAGCTCCTGTGATGCATTCAAGACAAAGACATCTTCTGTCTCCATTTATCGGTTTACTCCAGTGTGTTGAATTCATGTTAATGTGGATTTAAAAACATTTCAATTAGTGTAAAAAAATTGCAGGGGGAACTATTAAAAAAAAAAAAAAAAAATGACCCCCATGCAGTACCTCCATGGACCCCCTAGGGGTCGCGGACCCCCTCTTGAAGACCTACGATCTAAGCCCATTAAAACTCTCAGAAAACTGCAAAGAATATGCACAACAAAATCCTGTACAAACCTATGACAATAATTTTGGCATGTTCATAAAACTCTTCCAATATGAAAAGAAAAACATTTAAAACATGGACCAATGCTATTATCTTTAGACTGTAATGTACATCTAAATTCTGTTGTACCCTTGAAAAACAATGAAAAATAAAGACTTCTGATTCTTATTAAATATCGGAAATGTTTTTAAAAGTCATATCCCTGTTATTGAATAAAATATTGCCATTATACATATTTAATCTCTGCCCACCCCTAAAAATAAGGCATACAAAATTTCTCCCTGAGGGAGATAGGAAAACAATCTCTCAGTGGGGCCAATAGATATGCAGAGCAAGGATTATACTTCTAAAAGTGCAAAAGAGCTGTTTAATCCTCTGGAAGTGGAGTTGAATATTAGATCAGATTTGCAGAAGATCAGGCTGTTTCTATTGAAAATGATGAGGAACTGACAATATCCCTCATGATAGGCTGTTTGTGGCTTCAAGACCATCATAAAATTATTTTTAATCTATGCAAAGAGACTGAGGAGCTTTAGGAAAAGATTTTGTCTAATGCATATTTTGAGAGATATCACTACCTTGATAAATAAAATCTATGCAGATAATATTGCAAAGTATTTTAGCTCCAATCTTATGCTGATTTGAGGCAAAGGCACATTTTGTGGAAATGTAGTTTTGTTCTGCCCCCTGCTGGAAAATTCTATAGCTACAACTAAGGCCTTTTCCCTGCACTACTTGATATTTTTTTCTTAGTTTAGATAACCCAAAAGAGATAAGAGTTTATTTTTAATTTTATGATAAACTACCAAACTCCTGCCTTAGTGGCAAAAACTAGAAGCTAAACTAAGTACTGTTGAACTAAGATTGATAATGTTTTGCAAATTATAGGAACGGATACCTGACATGATTTTCAAGCATAAAGCCTGAGTCAAAGGGTGGCTCTACATTTGTAACAGCATTTTAGTCATAGAACTAATTGACCCCAAATCTGCTTATTCTTTACGTTTTTTCAGATGTAATATTGACTTTTTTTCTTTAATTAATTCAACTCAGTACATCCTTGCTTTTCATGAGTTTTAACACTCACACACACGCACTAATACTCTATCCCATTCCATTAATTCGCTCTCAGTGTTATTTCCCTTGTTATTTTTATGTTTATTAAAATGATCCTCTTTTTCTTTGAATAAAGAAAACATACATACATGATGATCACACACAAGAACAAAACACATGCAAAGGGAAATGGTTCAAGCAGCAAAAACAACTGAAAGTTAAGAAAAGCTGCAATCCAGCAGTGCTCCAAACCTCTGGGTGTCAATAGTCATCAGCTCAATGTGACCAGATTTATAACAAAGGTATAAACGGGATGCTCAGAGAAAATAGGGTCGATCAGAATAGTGCAAATTAGTCAGGACACTTTTAAAAATTGATTTTACGTATTATTTAAAAACAAGCCTTATATTCAAAGAACTTTACGTTCTATTGAAAAAGCACACATACAATCTTCACCCCACTCCCCAAAATTTCCTGCAAAATCAAAGTTTACTTTTCAAACGATGCGATTTCCTTCCAGGATTCAAATTCAATTCAGTTTATTTATATTGGGCCAGTTCATCATTTATCATTCATCATCTCAAGGAAATTTACAATTCAACCAGATCCTTCAGTAAAATTGATTGAAAGTTTTCTATTTAAGGAAAAGTTGAATGCATCGACTACTTGACTGAAAGACACCAATAATTCTTGTAACAACAGTGGAGAGGAAAAACTCCCTTTTAACAGGAAGAAACCTCCAGCAGAACCAGGCTCAGTGTGAGCAGCCATCTGCCGAGGTCGACTGGGGTTCAAGGAGACAGAGGCGGACATAGAAGCAGAGACACAAAAGGCAACTGTCAACCAGTTCCACAGGCGGCCCCGTCCAGGAAACACTCAGCCAGGCAGAAGAGCTTTGAGCCAGCTCCCATGTCAGAAGATGAAGAGAGCACATCCAGTTAGTAACAGGCAGAGAAACAGGACTACACTGAAAAACAGGCCAAGCTCCATCATCTATGAACAAAGGTGTTGATGGCAGCAGCACAGCTGATATTTCTCTCTGGGATGGTGTCACAGCCAAACAGGACACTTTTTTGTTTGCAAATTACACAATAACAACTATAAAAAACAACAAAAAACATTAATAAGAACCATTTGAACATTGTTGAGATAATGATACATGATGTTGAATAAAAAAAAACAAAAAACATTAGAATGTTATATCAAAAAAACATTCTTTTTTGATATAATACTTCATACAGGCTGTCTTGTAAAAAATTCTACACAATAATTTTTACTTAAAAACTCAGAACCCACAAAAACAATATATATATGGATATATATGGTTCAGTATATTGTATTACACCTCTAACTTAGGCAAGTAATATATATGGTGCAACACATACAAGATGAACTCTTACTCTTACTGTACAACAGTTTTTTTTTACACAT